CCTGGAAGCCAAGATGACCAAACTGTTGTACTTCAGACACATCATGAGGAGGAAGGGTTCATTGGAAAAGACAATAATGCTGGGAAAGGTAGAAGGAAGGAGAAAGAGAGGAAGGCCACATGCCAGATGGATGGACTCTATTAAGGAGGTCACTTTGGGTATTAAGGGGTTGCAGGAATTAAGCAGAGCAGTGGAAGACAGAGGGTCTTGTTGGAGATGGCTCATCCATAGGGTCACCATTGGTCGAGAGTGACTCAAGGGCAGTTACCACCAACAATAAAGCAGATAGTGACTTGAGGGATTGCAGGGGGTGATACTGTACCAGTCCCAGAAGCAAACATTCCAATCAAGGGATTCTGTGAGATGAAGATGGCTCAGGACACAGCCTATAGATCTGGGGTCAGTGGGTGCTGAGGAGTGAGGTGCAATATAGACAGAATGTCTGCTTGACCTCAGAACTAGACCCTACATTTGTCCCTAAAAGTTCTTCCTAATGTTTAGTCAGAATCTCCTTTCAACACACTGTGTAATCTCATCCTATGTCCTCATTTCCCCCGCTTTCAACTCCAACCTGAGGTGACCACAGAAGACATGAAACCAACCTCAGGGGAGATAGTCAACTGTGGCCTCCTGAAGCCCACCAAAACTGATGGCCAAAGTCTACTTCTTCCACTTCAGACTTGGTCACCTCCTTTGTCCCTTTCCTTCACATCCATCCATCCTCACCTCCTGGAGAAGGAAGGAGCCAATTTAAGTTTAGCATGAGGATCAGAAGGCAGAGGTTAGATGTCATAAGGACCTCAGGGCAGGGAAAAGACAGGTCACAAGGGCAGTGGCAACACGCAATGGCAAAACTGAAGATGACAACAAACAGACTCACATTTTCCCCAGAGCTCCAAAACTGGTGTTGCAGGTCAGATATACAGCTACCCTCAGGTAAGTACTGACCATCAACTCCTTTTCTTCTTGAAAAGATTTTTTCCCCCTAATCTACCCGACAAGCAGCACATTAGCCCCTAGCAGGGACATTTTTAGCAGGGACACTTGATTTAGGGGGGGAAATACATTAAAAGAGTCTCCTTTCTTTCCCCAGTGAGAACTTTGCCTCTTGGGCTCTGAGGTTGTTGGGGGTTTTTCTGCTTAATCTTTATTTTCACTCCCTCTTTCTCTATTGTTCTTTTCCATTCAACTTTCCTTCTAGAGTTTTTTTTTCCCCTCCCCTGTACATCATTCATATATATAAAACAACTTTGCACCCTACACATCATATACACATTGTAAATGTCAGGAGCAGGCTGCTGTTGAACAGATTACATGACATGTTGAAGGATGGAAGTGTCTACTGTCCATGGATGTACAAACCTCTCCTCAATGATAGTTGATATATTATATACAATATAATATATAATATATATAGTACGGTATATAAATGATTTTTGGGGATCAACTAGGATCTACAGCTGGGGATTTCATCCATCATCAAACATCAGGTACCATCCATCATCATCACCATAAACATCAGTCTGAAAGAGAAGGCTGAACAAAACTACAGTTCCCTGAATTCCCTAGCCGGGGCAGTTATAGTGGTCTCAAACTGGATTATTTCTGCAGTGTGTTTTGGATCTTGGTCTACTTACTCAGATGCATGGAGT